GAAAAATAATAGGAAAATCRGTAATCAACACTCATATATGAAAAAAATATGTCATGTATGAATAGGTCATCAGTAATTATTTAGATAGCTTTGTTGCAGAGTTCCAAGTAGTGCTCTTGGTGTGTTTTGATATGATATAAAAGATAAAATAAAAGCAAGAAGGAAGGAGGGTCAGTGTGCTGTAGGATCTGACACAGTGAACTCACCCTAAGGGCCAGGAGGGGAACCCTTTCAAGGACAAAATGTTGGCAGCAAAAGCACCTATGACAGAGGTGGGAAGCAGTCAATACAAAWGTCACTTCCTTTCTTCCTGTCACATGTGCTCCTGGATCATAACAAGAAAACAGACCTACCTTTCCCCCACTCGTAGGACCTGGTGAAAGATTAGTCTGTCCAAAAAGTACCGTAAACTGCCAGCACAAATTACTTAAGGATCCTTTGCTACATCTGTAAATTGCTGATTTGGCCCAAGAATCCCTGACAGATGAGCACTGGTAAAAATTTTGCTCTCATGAAAAGAGAATTGCACTATAAATTGGGTAAAGTATGGTACTTTCTGCTTTTGGTAGCAGCAGAARGGGAATCAGCCTTGACATGATCAGTCTCTTTAGGAAGGAATTAAAAGCAACACCTCTGTTTTCTTTAAAAGCAGCTGCTTTTTTCTCTTGCATTGCTGCTGGTACTGCTAATGTTTATGTATGCAAACACTGGTCCTTAGAAAACCAGCATACTTATACAAGTGAGAGTACCAAGTGTCATTAATTTATGAGTCTGGGTAAGGGGTTTTAAGGCACTAGTACCAAGAGATTTAGAAAGCTGCATTAGTATCGCTGCCACTGCCCTTCTTTGTGCMGTAAGATAAAATATTGAACTGATACGCTTAAAAGGGTCTAAGTTTTCATTACAAGGAGGGAATATATTGTGAGTTTTTTATGTGAACACTGATCTTCCRACCAATCTGACACTTAATCCATTAGAAGGGAAATTTCTACATAATGAGCGAAACTCTTCAATTAGGCTTCAATCTTGCACGCATATAAATGSTTCATTTTGCACTCCCATAGTCCCCTAGCTCCAATTATTGTCACAAATTAAGATGTGTACCATGGCACAGAGGCTTTAGCTAGTCCTTTTAGGTTTCAATTTGATCACAAGTAATGTTGAATGCAGTAGAAATACTGAATCACAGTGGCAGCCCTGAGACAACTATACATTAARTCTGCCATAACTGGCAGCCTCCACTGAGCAATACTTTGTTCCTTATAGAGTAATATCCTGTAGCTTATAATATAGATAATATATTCCTATTTTATATTAGAGYCTGATGGCTCAAATCAGGAATCCATAGTTAGGTTACATTCTGGGCAAAAATTACACACAGTATTCCTGTCCTGCCCAGCTTTCTCGTTAGATTGAGATGGAAACACAAAAAACTAAGGCAGCATTGAGAAGAATGGGTGAGATGGGGGTAAGAATGCCACAAAGGTTTTGGTGATTTCAACAGGAGATGTGCACAACTCTGCAATGACAAATGAGTAAAGCTCTCCATCAGTGATATCCACTAACACTCTCGATTTTTGCATTGACATTGGGAAACTTCAARAGTGTTTTCTTGCTCTGTACACCATAGCATCTCATACTGTGACAATCTGTGATAGTTTAAAAATTAAACCTCTTCAGCATATTGTAGGAGAGGACCTTTCGGTGGAGGCTGAGGAGGAGAAGTTAGGAGAGTGTTAAGAGCAGTTGATTTATATGTAACTGTCTACTATGCCCTACAACTGGCCTCACTTCCTCCACCACACTTGGGCAAGCAGGGATAACGGGGTACTGTATAGTTACCTAGTAAGTTCTCACTTGACCTCTTGAAAAACTGAAATGTATAGTTTTAATTTTTTTTWAATGAAAAAGCACTTAGGTGGTGCATATTTATTCCTTTCTGCTGATGGCTGAGTGACCTTGCAACATGGCAAGGCCCCCGGGAGGGCTACAGAACCTGGAACTGAAGCCCCCTSCTCATGGGGCAGAGAAACAAAACGAGAAAAGTTGCAAAATAGTTGGCAGTGGCTCCAGCAGGGCGTGGGGAAGGGCGTGGACAAAATAGCACAAGAGTATTTTCAGATTAAAACTGGGATTTTTTTATTATTACTTTTAAGATTTACTTCTTTTTGTAATAAATAAAATTAACTTACTTCCTCCATGGCAACAGGCCTAAGTCGCCTGTATTGAAGGTGAGGATATAGAAAGCTTGTTAAAAATAATAATATTCTAGGAATCAGCTTTTGACAATTCAGCAAGATTTAATGTTTATTGACATTTAAGGTATGTTTTACAACTAAATTATTATTATATGTGAATTAGTGTAGCAAGAATAAAATGATCAGGTAAAACAGGCAGAAGGGTGGGAAGATTTTGATTTTACAAAGGACATTGTATGATCTCCTCTCCCCAACGTTATCAATGCCTGGACTGGAGATCTGGTGCCAGTCCCTCTCCCTGCTCACACTGATGCACTCTTGCACCCAGGGCCCAGCAGATCACCCACAGTTCAGCTCATGACAAACAAGGCTGTGCTATTTTGTCATCCCCAATTAACAGTTTGTGATGAGCAGTGTTGCCATCAAACTCTCTCATCAGACTTCATACATGCAGGATTTCTCAGAAAAACATGGTTAGATTTCTTACTGCTCCCCTGTAGGGCTTCTGCTCCAACACCAAGGCTTCACCTCCAGGCTGGAGTGAAATTGAGCTCTCAGTTCCCAGAGGGATTAGAAAGAGCATTGTACACATCTCATCTACCTCATATGCCTTGCAGCTGATGGCAACCGTCCAGCACATCAAAAGTTGGCTCTTTAAAAAAAACCCAACACATTCTGACTCCTCTTAAATCCTCCCTTTTTGGGATGAGCATTAGAAAAGTGCAATTTTTGCACCATTAATGCACTTACCTTTTACTAGACATATGCCAGCAGCAGAAATATCTGATAGCATTCTTTTTAAAATTTATCCTGTCAAGCACACATTCCCCAGAACAAGATATGGCTGTAGCATCTGTTAGTCTCCTTGAAATATATGGTCTTTGGAAAAACACATCACCATGTATCCAGCTAAGCCTAGCAGGATGCAGAGACTCATGCTGTTTGTGACACTGCTGAAAGATCTACCAGCTGTGGATGGACCCAAGTTTCTTGCCTCACCCCCTTCACAGATACTTTGAATGGTTTATCATACCAAGGTTCCCTCATTAAACAGTGTTGATTTCCTAGATTTTTCAGTAAATTTACCAGTTCATCTCCTGTATGTGTGACATGATGGGGAAAGCTGGTCTTGTACATGACCTACACAGCTACTTCATCTTTCTATAGCAAAGAATGCCTACTTATATGAAAGAAAAACATGGRAAAAACAGCAGTGGATAACTTTGTCAATGAATTTAAAATATTTTACAAAAGTTGCTCTGTAATACTCTCAGCTTTTGCTCAAGAATGAGCTCATCTTGGTGCTAAGTTAGTACTTTTATCTGCTCTAGCAAAATCATCTATTTTCTGCCTTGATAAAAAGCACTGAAAAAGTGTCACTTTGTCATAACTGGATAAAAGAAAAGTAAGTGAGAGATGAAAAGCAGAACTAATCCTCACTGAATTAGAAACATATATAATGGTCATTTAAAGTAATTTRACCAACAAACTGGTTAAAAACTGAGTGGAAGCTGCTCTATCCTTCACCTTAACCTGTACTATGTATCACTCCACCCACCCTCTGGATGGCAAACAAAGCATAAGAAGGGATGTCAGAAATTAAAAAAATAATCTCCTGAGGCAGTGGAATTTTAAAAGCAAACCTCTATCATTGATCTAACACTTCTCACAGGCATCGTGTTAACTGCTAAATGTCAGAAGGTTGCTCTCCATTCTCACTAAACCAGAGAGTCGAACAGGACAGCAGTCAACAGAGAGCAGCACTGGAATACAGAGCTGGTGGCCGGAATGTTGTGTTCTTTCTGTATCCCGTGAGGAGTGAGGGCACGGCGGCTCTTCCACACTTGCCAGTCAGGCATGAAAAGGGCTGGGCTCCTGGGAACTTACCAAAACGGCATCAGGAACCACGAAAATTGGCGAGATTGTCCCTTTAGCGCTAAACCACAAACCGAACTCTAGTGACAGCAAGTCAGAATTACCTAACCACAGCAACATTGTTCAGGAGTGAAGTCAAACAAAACAAAGGTTTTATCAGATCCTGAAGGACAAGAATTTTAATTATATTCACACAGAGAATGCATAAAACGTTTTCAACCAGGTTTTTGCCTTACACGTGTTGCTGGCCGCTGTCTATTTATTACAGAGCTACTGAGACGTTTGCTCTTGTCCGTATTCCAGCACCGCAATCATTTCAAGGCRCTGCTGTAGCCGTTCCACTGCAGTTCACTTCAGCCATGCACAGGACTACTTGCTCTGAGGTCCGGAACCAAGTGTGTGCTGGTGTCTATTTAATTATATGAAATATTGTTGTAACTTGTGGTCTGACTCTGGGAAGACCTGGAGACCCCTCAGCTGTTCCCCTCAGGGCAAAGACCGTGCAAAAGCTCACTTTTATGCTCCCAGCTCTACAAGCTGCAGCCTCTCGTACTCCTGAACACTTTCATGCAGCAGCCGCTGGCACCTCACCGGAACCCGAGCACAAAGGCAAAACGCCCCGTGTGAGGGGCCGCCCCGTGGAGGGCAGAGACGGCGGGACGGGTTTGCTCCCCACGGCACGGGCAGCGAGAGCCTGGGCACCTGCCTGCCTGTCCGGGCACGCTCCGCCGCCGGGACACCGCGCCCTTCGCGCCTCAACCTCGGCGGAGCTCAGCCGCAGGTGCCCGGGCTGGAGGGAGGACGGGCAGGGCCGGTGCCGATCCCGATGCCGGTCCCCAGGAACGAGCCGGGGTGGGGGGTGGTGCTGCCGCCGGGGCTGCGCGGGGCGGGGCGGGGCGGGCGGTGCCGCTCGTTCAGGCCCAGCCCCTCAGCGCAGCCCGGCTCGGCGGCGCTCGCCGCTCCCGCTTCCCCGGCCCGGGCTCTTTGTCGGCGGGTGCCGGCGGGGGTCGGTAGCGCCATGTCCTCCCCCAAGAATGGCTTCTACCGGCAGGAGATCACCAAGACCCTCTGGGAAGTGCGGGACCGCTACCGGGACTTGCAGCCGGTGGGGTCCGGCGCCTACGGAGCCGTGTGGTGAGCGGGGCGGCGGGGGCGGCGCGGGGAGCGGGCGGCGGGGGCGGCGGCCTCTATCCCGGCCCGGGGACGCTGCCGGGCCCGGCCCGCTGGCGTTTTGCCCCCTGACAACTTTTCCAGGTTGTTGTGCTGGACCCGGGCTGGCCCCGCCCTGTGCCGCTGGCCCCGTGCGGTCTGAGGGGCGGCCCCGCTGCTCACCTGGCCGTGCCCGGGCCGGRCTGCTCCGCCGGGGAGTTCAGTGACCCGCCGTGGGGAGCCGACTGCCGCGTTCCTTCCCTGGAGCGAGCAGAGCCCGGAGCGCTGCCCCAGCCCTGCCCGGGGAGCGCTGCCCKCGGCTGCTGAGCCCGCGGCACCCCGGAGCGGCAGTGTCCGCGAAGACCGGGGTATTGTGGCCCTTGGGACGGGCCACAATCACGCGTTGGTGATGGGCTTGGGGGTTTGTGGGATTTTTTGTTTTATTTTTGGTTTGGGGACTTTTTTTCCCACTCCGCAGATGTTCCTTTTTAAAGCTTTTGATAATTGTATGCATTTCATCACAGAGTCTGTCAGGCTTTTAAACGAATGCAATGAGATAGCTGCTGACAGAGGTGCTTTGGGGAGATGATCTCCCCCCATGGCACGGGGGGCTGCGGGCCGAGGGCCCAGCCTCATGGGGCAGGATGCAGCCGCTGCCCAGCGTCAGACGGGTTTGCTGSGGGCTGCAGATTTATTTCGGTACTTGCTCACCAAACTCTTTTTTGTTCCCTTAAAGCTCAGCCGTCGATGGAAGAAGTGGTACCAAAGTGGCCATTAAGAAGTTGTACCGCCCATTTCAGTCTGAACTTTTTGCCAAACGAGCTTACCGWGAGCTGCGTCTCCTGAAACACATGAAGCATGAAAACGTGAGTTGGTTTGTTAGCCCAAAACCACACCTTAGGCACTCTAAATCAAAGAAAATATGTGGATTTGGACAGAGTAGATGTGTAGCTGAATGGAATTCTGGAATCTTTCAGCCTGTCTTTTGTGTGTCTGTCCTACAAACATCAGTTCACACAAARTAGAATATCCTGTGGGAAGCACCACCTAATTTCCATGTAGGAAAGATTGGGTGGGGAAGGTCACGAACACAGTGCAATCCGTGCTCAGTGCTAGTGAGAGGGATTAAAGACCAGAAATTACAGCCACCATCATTGTGCTCCTGCAAGTTGCCGGAGAATGCAGAACATGGGTCTGTGAGTTTCAGCATCTTCTTTTTTGTTTTTTTTTCCCCCCTTTGAGCTTGCATGGAGATACACACATGCATATCTTTGGGGAAGGGTTAGCATTTTTCTCTTTTTTTATCACTTGCRAAGCATTTGAAAGTTTCAGGCTCATATTAATGTGAAACAGGAAAATCCACAAATAACTAAACAAACTGCTTTACTGTGAAGCAGAGAATAGGTTATCAAACTCTGCACATAATTCCCATGTAACACGAAAGAACAGCTATAGAAAGAAGTGTTGAAAGCATAACTGAGAGAAAGATATTTGATCCCAATAGTGCTTAGTGGTTTAAGAAAAAGTAAGTTTGTGTGGAGTCAAAGCATGGATTCCAGGTGAGAAGGGTCCCAGGGTGAGCTTGGAGGATCACAGCAGTAGTTTTAAGTGCTGTTCATGAAGAATATATATGGGATAAAAAAACTGATCGYTTGGAGGGAGTTGTTAAAATGGTGCATAGGAACATAATTTAAAGTATTAGTTGATGTGAAAGGTTAGAACATACCTTCATTCAGAGGGCCTTCACRGAAAGCTGAGAGATTGAAAGTGAGGATGAGAGTAATTGGTAATAACAATAACTGGTAACTGCCATTTAGCATTATGGTATTAATATTCTAGGTTCATTTGAGGAATAATTTGTGGAGTRTGCTTACTATCCAAAAGGAAAACTGAGCCTTTTGTAGGCTTAAGAAACTGTCTGCTTGTAATATTTAAAACTTTTAGTCTGATTACTTCAAAGTAACTACTTCATAACCACTGCTGCATATGTTAAAAAGTTAATGTTTGCCTGAAACTTCTGTGTATGGGCTTTAATACTCTCAGCATTTTCTTTACTGAACATTTGGGAGCAAAGCAGTCCGTGCAGTTGCCAAGCTCCTAACTGTGTCCAGAATTTTGAGATTATTTTTCTTCCATTTCCCAGAATTATCTGTTGGGTAGCATTTTCCACTCCTAGCAGTTTTATGTAGTGTATGCCCTTCACAGTGGAGTTCTAAAACTCTACTCCACTGTGGACTCGATTGGTAATTAAAGAGTCCAGAAAAAATGCTCACTGGGGAGTAYGAGCACAATTTGTACAAGTTGCAAATCAATCTATATATGAAGGAAAGGAATGATTTGCAATCTTAGGAAACAATTTGAGCCACAGAGAGAAGAAATTTATGTACTAAGAGAAGTTTTAATGTGAATTACGGTATCTACTCATTAGAGAACAAAGACTGAATAAATGATCCTGCAGGGATTTGAGGCAGAAACTGACTGTTCTACCCATCCATGATGAGATTGACATGGAAGTATAGCAYGTCAACACAATTCTGATACGCCACCCAAGCCTCACTTGCTTTTGTCAGTCATGTTGCCCATGATGAAATAGGAGCAGCAATAATGCCTTTTAGGATTAGCTGACTCCTTCAGCTGCTCCACCCATTCAAAATTAAACCAGAATGGTAGTATTGCTCCTTACCATGCTTTTCAGCCCAATCACTTTGATCCACAACCATCCTGTCAGAGAGCCTCTTTTTGCATATTTCATAGAATCATAGAAACATGGAATGGCTTGGGTTGAAAGGGGTCTGAAAGATCATCYAGTTYCAACCCCTCTGCTGTGGGCAGGGACACCTTTCACTAAACCAGGTTACTCAGAACCCCATCCAACCTGACTTAAACACTTCCAGGGATGGGGCATGCACAGCTTCTCTGGGCAGCTCATTCCAGTGTCTCACTACACTCACAGGAAAGAATTTCCTCTTAATACCTAATTTAAACATACCCTCTTCCTGTGTTGAGACATTCACTTGGTCTGTTTAGCTTGGAGAAGAAGAGACTGTGGGGAGACCTCATTGCAATTACAACTTCCTCTAGAGGGGACTAGGAGGGGCAGACATTGATCACTTTTCTGTGGTGACCAATGACAGGGCTTGCGAGAAAGGCCTGAAGCTGTGTCAGGGGACATTAAGGTTGGGTATTAAAGGTTCTTCACTCAGAGGGTGGTTGGGCACTGGAGCAGCTCYCCAGGGAAGTGGTCTCAGCACCAGCCTGGCAGAGCTGAAGAAGCATTTGGACAATGTTCTCAGGCACATGGTGTTRCTCTTGGGGATGGTGCTGTACAGGGCAGGAATTGGGCTTGATGATTGTCTTGGCTTCCTTCCAAATCAGCTGATTCTGTGACCTGTGATTCCCTGTTGTCCTGTCACTACATGTTTTTCTAAATAGTCTCCATCTTTCTTGTTTCCATCAAAAGATGGATTTAAAGGCAGAAGATAAGTTCCTTTCCCATTCACATAAGCAATTCAGAGTGTGCTGTACACACCTTTAATGATATTGTAGTGGCAGAAAAGCTGCAAATTTTCTGTCATCCCCATTGTTGCTTCCATAAGCTATGGAGTTTTGGAAGTGCTCCACTCAGGTGGGTGTCTATCCCCTTACAATGGGAATTAGTAGACTAGAACAGTGATTGAATAATCTTTCTTAACGTTTTTGCTAACTAGCCTGTTATAGTATGCTTCTATAAAATAGCAGATATCTGTCTTTCTGGCTGTACTATAAATATAGCTGCTAGTAAAAAAATTAATAAAATAGATTTTTTTCAAAGACTTCAGTAAAATAGCAATGCTACTGTTACCTCTGTCTTGGTTGTTAGTAATCTAAGTATGTAGAGAATGTGGCATATGATAGCCAGTCTAACAGTATTGCCACTATGGATTAGATTTGGGATTATGTTGCATTAATGTACCAGTGAAAACTTCCATCTTGCTTTTTTCCTACTTTGGCATATAAATTGTTTTAAGGTTCTGTTTATTTGATAGTTAAAACTGCATCCAATTCACTCTGCTTATCTGTTTTTGTTTCAAAATTACTTCTGTAATTGCAAGGCATTTGATGTTGGCTTTTATGGAAAGTGTGATGTTTTGTTTGTTTCACTGTGCTTACCTCTCAGTGGACCATCTCTACTCTTCATAGCTTTTAGGGAATTTTTGTGTTAAGCATGCAGCAATACATTATCATGGTTTATTTAACCTGGTGCTGTATTCAAAATGATGGAAGAAATTGTAATGGCCTGACACATTGTGTTAAAAGTAGCAGCTCTGATCCTCCATTAACATAGCAGAAGATACCATTAAACCTGTGTCACAGTGATATAAATCATCAGCAGGTCAGTGAAGAAAAATGGAGGAAAATTACTGCTTAACACCTTAGATGACCTCCATTAGGTTCCCTTTGAGGAATATGTTCATCTTTTTTATGTAGAAGGGTTGTAGGATGACCAGGAGTGCTGTAAAAGCAAATACAAGTATCATTCCACTGTTTTTTTCTGGAATGGTATTTTACTTTGTAGGGAAGCTTAACTCATGGGTCAATTTGCTTRTCTATTTAGGCATTTTCAGGAGGAGGTGACTGGTTGCTGGCATACCATCTTTCATTGGACCTTTGCTCTCTGTAATGCCTCTCAAGCARAAGTAGTGAGGCACGTTTCTACATAGACCATGTAGTGAGGAATGTTTCTGTATAAACCATCCAGACTTGAGTGCACATGGGACTTCTCATCTACCCTTTGCAAACAAATCCAGAGGAGTAATGCTGTTGGGGGCTGAGGGACAGAGGCTGTGTGAAGAGACCTGGCTATTAAGAGATAAGTCAGTCTTTAATGGAACTGGTATCCATTTGTTTTGTTAGGCCTTTTAATTTGAGAGGATCCATGATGTTTCCTAAACTTCATAAGCTGCTTCTTCTACCAAAGAAGCAGTCTAACCCAGATCAATTCCTAAGACATCATTGCCAAAAAGACAAGTTTGTTTCCAGTGGGATAAGCTGCTGAATCACTCTGTAGCTGCATAATCAACTGGCACAAGGGAGGAGGGTATGGTATGGAAACAAGAAATAAACACAGCTAAGGCAGAATGAAGAAAGCACTGCTTGGGGCTGTTTTCCTCCTTCATTAAATCATGCTTGTTTGTAGTATGCATCCCACTAAAACCTTAGCAGCTCTTGATTATTTCTTTCACATCTGCTAAATCTTGTACAGAAGAACAGTCTTTTTACCTTTAAAAAATATTTTCCAGTAGTGCTGCTTCTGTTCTGTATTTCTGTCCATTTTGAGTTCATTTAAAATGAGGGCCTYTATAACTTACCTATTATGGTTCTGGCTTAAAATCAAAAGCAGTGAGAATATGGCCAGCATGCTAACTTTGGCCCTGGGTTTAGCTCTCAAACATTTGCAAAGCTCTCTATTTGTGTATTCTCCTGCAGTTAATGGAGATGTCTGTGTATGCAGAGTGAAACCCAGACAGGTAAGTGGAGGTGCAGAACCTTTAGCTTGTTTTGGCAAATCACTTGGAGTTACTTATGCATTTGGACTGTAATACTCTGATACCTGCTTTTGTTGAAACAAGTGCACAGTTGCTTGCAGTGGTCCAGCCCTGGTGCTCTCTTCACCTCCAGTTTGTTAAGAGACGTTTTCAAGCAGGAGTGCAGAATAGCTGGCAAGGGAAAATGGCACTKCAGAGAGGAAGGGAAGAGCAGCAGCTCGTGCTGGTGGCTTGTGTCAAAACTGAGTGTGGTATGTGTACATCTGTATGCACCTATGTGTACATATAGGCAACCATGGGAATTCTGACATAGTTCTACCAATTAAATTCTGAATGTGTTT